TGCAAACCTAAAAGGGCTTGAGAAATCCCAGCAGTGATTACTATTCTCATTGTGCACCTGAGCTGTTTTTCCCGCCTGTGTTATCTTTCGGGTCATTTCTAATATCTCTGTAAGTGATTCAGAGACAATGATGTCAAGATCCAAGTATGGAGGTTCTATTGGCCTTGATGGAAAAAAGTCCGTGTAGACGCATTTTGAAAATCTTTTCCATTTTTCTCCCGTTTGTGGTCCTCTTGCCATGTCCATCCCCACAGGCCCTGGGGATGACTCTACTAAACTGGCTCTCCTGGCAAGCTTTCTTCAACATGCTCTAACCCCCTGCTGCTCCTCACTGCTTTAAGAGATGTGACTGCTAACCGCTTTATAGTGTAGGAAACTGGGGTTCAGATAAGTGACCTGACTTGCCCAGGGCCACACTGGTAGTATGGGTCAGAATCCAAACTCAAAACTCTGGTTATCTGATTTCCAGACCAGTCTAGTCTGGCAAAGCAGAAGACAGTTATTCTATTTTATGATGACTCTGATGCCTTCCTTGCAAAGAGTTCAAAGTTCAGTCACCTATTAACTTCTTTCTCTTTACAACAGCCTGGTTAATTAGAGAGGGACAATTATTGTTATGCTCATTTTATATGCAAAGAACCTGAGTCCTAAAGTGGGTGACCTGCCATGCTTGTGACAGAGCAGAAAGCATAGAGACCACAGTCTTCCGACCCCTAGACTAGTCTAGTGCTCGGTCCACGACACCACTGCTATGGCAATCCTGTGGATTAAATTTTTAAAAGTAATTCACCTGGGCTCTCTGACCACAGCTAAACTGACACTGTCAAGATCAACTGAAAGAAAACAGTCACAGACTAGAGTTAACTAGTATTAGCTTCCAGGTCACTAAGGTCAGAACATATTCTGAGAGTGGTTTTTAGTACATTAACTTCCTGAGAGAAGATTTTTTTGGAGGAGGAAAAAAAATCTTTATATAGAACTACTACATAGGCTCTCCGACACCTTTGTTCTTCTTTCCTACTCCCTGTTTACACAAATGGGCCAAAATTGCAGAATTCTTACACACCAAGAACAGAAGGCACCTGACCAAAGATTACTGGGGAATTCTGTCACCTAGCACAGTGCCTGGTACTGGGCCGGGTCTAGCCACAGTCACTATACTCCTAAAAGGCAGCCAGGAAAATGGGGAAGCTCTTGAGCTGTGTGTCTGGTTGAACTACTGAATTCATCTGTGCTAGTTTGCACTTAAACAGTGTGGAATAAAATTTAGCCACGCCAACAAATTATTTTATTGTTAGAGGTAGAAAGAATTACAGACTTTATCATCTAGTTCAGGGCTTCTTAAACTTTTTCCACTCACAACCCCTTCAGCACTTCTTAAACTGTGGGTTGCAACCCACATTTTAAGAAACGTTGGTTAAATCTCCCCATTTTACATATGAGGAAACTGAAGCTCAGAAGGGAGGTGACTTGCTCAAGACCAAGCAGCAGAGTCTTACTTCAAACTCAGGTCCTCTGATTCTTAATTCTAGTGCTACTTTGTAAACTCACTTGGCCTCCTGAAGTCACCAGGTACAGGCTCCCTATGACATACAGGACAAACTATCAGCTCCACATTCTGGCATCTGAGGCTCCTCCATCTGGTGTCCACCTGCCTCTCTGGCCTTGTTTCACACTCCTGCCCTTCACACCCTGTGGCTCCAACCAAACTGAGTCCGTTAGGTCCTGATCTTGACTTGCCACCTCCCACCTCAGTGGAGAGTGTGTGTGTGTGTGTGTGTGTGTGTGTGTGTGTGTGTGTGGTCTCGAATTCAAGTGCATGCTCTAGCAGAGACTGACTCCCGGGCCTGGGGGCTTCCCTCATCCCGAGGGGCTGTTAAAGGCTTCCTCTTCCTCCATGCCTCAGCTCAGGTGCCACCTCCACAATGAAGTTGTACCGATCCCCTCAGGGGAATCTTCCCCTCCTGACACAAAACATTTTCTTAGAGTACTTTGTCTTGATTCCTCTCACACTGCACTACATCTCTAACTTCCCTAGCTTCCCAGACGACCACATCTTCGAGCTCTCTGTTGTTTTTCATCTTCATATTCCCAGAGCTAAGCAGAGGACCCCGTGTGTAAGCGCCACTACCTTGTGACTCTACTCTTCTAGTCCCTGAATGCTTAGAAATAGCACCCAGAATAAAGGCAACATTAGCTTGTAGGACAGGAGTGTCATCTTTAGAATGTTCTGAAAATTAAATTCTGAGAGTCTTAGAAATTTGTTAAAAAAAAAACTTTGAATCTAAGTAGTCATTATCTATAAAATCTGACAATAACATATTACCTTAGGACATCCCTTCTATCTTTTTAAATCTTATTTTTATTGATCTTTTGTTTTGATATCACCTTTATTTCCAGATATTTTGCCTCTTCTCCCAGTGTCATTCTTTATAACAAAGATTACAAAAAAAGAGAGAGAAATAAGCAATTCAAGAAAAGTAACTAATTAATGCACTGACAACTCTACTATAGTATTACTTAAGTTTTCATGCATTTTGTTCCTTGGTTCCCTCCAGTGAGATGGCAAATTCCTTGAGATAGGGACTGTTTTTTTTACTTCACTGTACATCCCCCACTGCCTGCCTCATGGGCCTTACTCTTAGTAGATACACAATAGGTGCTGATTTAACTTTATTTCTTATTACAGGAACTTTAGGAAGCAATTTTAAAAAGTTTTGCATGCCCCAGCTCAATGTATGATAGAATATCACTGAAGCACAAAGAATTCAAACTGTATCTCTGATCTGTTTTAGAACTTGAAAGTAAGACATCAATGAACTGGTGGGCTATTCTCCCAGAATCTGCTGGGGGATTTTGTGTCCTCAGAAAATAAAACAGTGAAATTTGCTTATAATAACATTTTTGTTAAACAATGGTATTTAGTAACACTGAGCAATAGTGACCTTACTAGTAACAGTCTCTATGGTGCTTCAGCATATAGAAATGGAAATACATACAAGCCAACTATGATAATAACCACCAGTCATCAGGCCACTGAATTCAGCAATATGGAGTAGAAATCAGAAGCAGGATAACAAAATCGCTAAAGGCATAGTTGCACAGAATCTCAAAGTTGAGATACACTATATATATGATATTTATACAGTTATTTGCATTTTGTCTTCCCTATTAGAATGTGAGCTCCTCAAGGACAAAGACCATGTTTTCACCTTTCCTTTGCCCCAGTCCTTAGACACCTAGGTGGATAGTGGATACAGCTTGGATAGGGCTTGAAATCAGGAAGACTGATCCTCTTGAGTTCAAATCCAGCCCCAGATACTTAACTAACAGTGTGACCCTTTGCAAGTCACTTCACCCTGTTTGCCTCAGTTCCTCATCTATAAAATGAGCTGGAGGAGGAAATGGCAAACCACCCCAGTATCTTTGCCAAGAAAACCCCAAATTGGGTCATGAAGAGTCAGACATGATGAACAACTACAATGACAAAAACTGCCCCAGTCCTTAGCACAATGAAAGGCATATAGTAAGTGTTTAACACACTGGGTTAAAAGGGTCATCGGGGGGGCAGCTAGGCGGCACAGTGGAAAGAGCACCGGCTCTGAAGTCAGGAGTACCTGAGTTCAAATCTGGCCTCAAACCAAACACTTGAAACTTACTAGCTGTGTGACCCTGGGCAAGTCACTTAACCCCAATTGCCTAAAAAAAACAAAAACAAAAACAAAACAAAACAAACAAAAAAAGTGTCCTTGGATCAGCCTTTGCTTGAACTGCCTTTTGCATTACAAACTGCACTGTCAATAACTGGAGATCTTTCTGACTTATGCCTGTTTTTAGTCCATCTACGCGGAAACAACAGGAGCCTCGGAATCAGAAGTCCGGAGTTCTAGTATTGAGGCAGCACAAAAACAGAGCTGGCTTTGGGGTCAAGGGTTCCAAGTTCAAATCCTGGCTCTACCTTGGTCATGTCATGATCTCTGTGGGCCCCAGTTTTCCCAACTGCAAAATGAGAGGGCTGGACTAGATGATCATCACGGTCTCTTCCTGCGCTATCTGACCTTTATGAGGGTGATGAAACATGCTATCTACTCTAGACAGAGAGGTGAGGGGTTCAGACGGAGGCTCGTGGTTTTGGGCGGCTTTTTCTGGACGTGGCAAATGGTGCCAAATGCTTCTGCAATGCACTTTGTTCTTCCTGTTTCTCAATGAAGGAGGAGAGTGGAGAGGGAAGAAGAGGTTGGGAGGGAGAGAATTCAAACCAGAAAATAAAACAGAGCATCATTTAAAAAAGTAAATCCCTTTTAGATCTCAGATCTACCCCCAGCATTGCCACTTCCTAGGTGAATGTGATCTTAGGACTAAATTGACCCTAAGGTCACTTCCAGCTCTGAGGCTCCATGAAGTCACAGAGAATACAGATTCTCTAACCTATAGGGCAGAGCCCCATCAGGGGGGAATGTTTTCTCATGAACATTTTCTAGCCCAGGACTTTAGTGGCAAGACAAACGTACTGACTTCAAGCAATGGCACCTTTCTAAAAGGCACAAGTGCAGCTGAAGTTTTTATACCATCCTGATACACCCCAGGGTGATACGTTCTGGATCCCTGGCACACTTACACTTTCACACTGACTGAAAGGGAGGGGAAAGAATGCTGTACTGGAGTGAGGAGACTCAGCTTTAAAATCCAGCTGGTATATCCTCATTACTTAATTTCTCTGAATCTCAGCTTCCTCATCTATAAAACAGGGATAAACAATACTAGTACTACCCAAGGTTACTTTTAGGAAAATGATTTGTTGACCTTGAAGAGCTCTGTAAACACTAGTTACTACTACTACTACTGAACATTTTGGATTGAGAAGGAAAAAAGGGCATGCCGGTTGACAACCTGTACACACACCCATTAAGGTGTCTGGTAATGTTTCAAGCACTGAAAAAGAAATAGTTAAAACCAATCTATGCCTTTTTGGGGGGCCTGATGGATAAACCTCACTGTACCTAGAGCTTTCACAGCTATCTGTCGAGTGAGTGGAGGGGGGATGTTAATGCAAACCAGATCCACATCCTGGTGCAGCAAGACGTCGTCTGTCCGGCTGGTGTGGAAGGAAATGCTCATCTCTTCAGCAAGCTGCTTTGCCTCTTCTTCAGTCCTGCCCCACAGTGCCTCAATGGTGAAGCCTTCAGCTCTCAGCAACGGGACCAGAACCCGAGCAGAGCTGCCAGTCCCAAAGACTCCGACTCCCGGAAGCAGTTTCATCCTGGCTTCACCAATTCATCTCTTTCCTAGGGCCTCACTCCTCATGCTCACAGACCAACCAAGGCTCCTAAAACAGCAAGAACGTTACACCTCGTTATCAGCAGAAAAGACAATGATCAACAGCCACTTTCTGACTCATTTGGAATCAATGTTGCTAGTTCACAGGATTTAGACCTAGAAAGTAATTTAGAAACCATCTCAATTACACCCTCCTGTTTTATAGATATGGAAACTAAGGCTCCAACAGGTAAAGTGACTTGCCCCAGTCGCACTGACAGTAAGCATGTTGGATGGGATTCAGTCTACAATTCTCACTACTATAACCAGTCAAGCAACAAAAAATTTATTAAGTGTTTACCACAGGCAGCAAGGAGGCAGTGGACAAAGCCCTGGATCTGGAGTCAGGAAGGCTTGGGTTCAAATCTGGTCTCAAACTTACTGTGTGACCTTGGACAAGTCATTTAACTTCTGCCTGCCTCAGTTTCCTCATATGTAAAATGAGGGATAATAATAGTATCTGGATCCCACGGTTGCTTTGAGAACATATGCAAACTTTAAAACACTCACAGATCCTAGTTGTTGCTATTATTTATGTACCTGGCACTGTTCCAGGAGGATACAAAGAAGGGCAAACATGTGGCACCTATCTTTAAAAAGCTCACATGCTAATGGAGAGACAACATAAATAATTAGGTACACACAAGACATATACAGAGGAGATGGAAGGCAATTTGAAAGGGCCGAGCATTAGCAGCTAGAGGACTAGGAAGGGCCTCTTTTTTTCCCCCCTTGATAATTAATTTATTTATTCTTAGTTTTCAACATTCACTTCTACAAGATTTTGAGTTTTGAATTTTCTCTCCCTCCCACTCCTCTTCCCTTCCCAAGACAGCATGCAATCTGATACAGGCTCTACTTATACATTCATATTAAATGTATTTTCCCATTAGTCATAATGTAAAGAACAATTAGAACTAATGGGAGGAACCACAAGAATGAAGCAATAAAACAAAACAACAAAGGAAAAGGAGAGCAAATAGTCTGCTTCCACACGCAATCAGACTCCACAGTTCTTTCTCTGGGTGTGGACAGCAGTTTCTATTGTGAGTCTTTTGGAGTTGTCTTAGATTCTTGCACTGCTGAGAAGGGCCAGGTCCATCAAAGTCAGTCATCACACAGTGTGGCTGTTACTGTGTACAATGTTCTCCTGGTTCTGCTCACTTCACTCAGCATCAGATCATACAAGTCTTTCCAGGTTTTACTGAAGTCTACCTGCTCATCATTTCTTATAGCACAATAGTATTCCATTACATTCATATACCACAACTTATTCAGCCATTCCCCAGTTAATGGGCATCCCCTCAATTTCCAATTCTTGGCCACCACAAAAAGAGCTGCTCTAAATATTTTTGTACATGTGGGTCCTTTTCCCATTTTTATGATCTCTTTGGGATACAGACCTAGAAGTGGTATTGTTGGGTCAAAAGGTATGCACATTCTCATAGCCCTTTGGGCATAGTTCCAAATTGCTCTCCAAAATGGCTGGGACAGTTCACAACTCTACCAACAATGCATTAGTGTTTCAAGTTTCCCACAACTTCTCTAACATTTATCATTTTCCTGTTTTGTCATGTAAGCCAATCCGATAGGTGTGATGTGATGTGGTACTTTAGAGTCATTTTGATTTGCATTTCTCTAATCAATAATGACTTAGAACATTTTTTCATATGGCTATAGTTTTAGTTTCTTCCTCTGAAAACTGCCTGTTCATATCCTTTGACCATTTGTCAACTGAGGAATGACTTGTATTCTTATAAATTTGACTCAGTTCTCTATATATTTTAGAAATGAGGCCTTTATCAGAGATACTGGTTGTAAAAATTCTTTCCCAGTTTTCTGCTTCCCTCCTAATCTTGGATGCCTTGGCTTTGTTTGTACAAAAACTTCAATTTAATGTAATCAAAATTATCCATTTTGTATTTCATAATGTTCTCTATTTCTTGTTTGGTCATAAATTCTTCTCTTCTCCATAGATCTGAAAGGTAAACTATTTCGTGCTCTTCTAGTTTGCTTATAGTATCCGTCTTTATATCTAAATCCTGTACTCACTTTGACTTTATCTTGATACAGGGTGTAAGATGTTGGTCTATGCCCAGTTTCTGCCATACATTTTTCCAGTTTTCCCAGCAGTTTTTGTTAAATAGTGATTTCTTAGGGAAGGGCCTCTTTAAGCTTGACAGGATTTGAGCTGAGTCCTGAAAGAAGCCAGGGCAGACAGGAGGGGGAGAAAGGGGAGACAGAGCATTCAAGGCCAGAGAGACCACTTGTATCCAGGCACAGAATCAAGAGGAGTGTTTAAGTGGGCCAGTATTGCTACATCAGGAAGTCTGTGATGGAGAATAACGTGTAAGGAGAATGGAGGCTTCCTTATGAAGGGCCCAGGATCAGAAGAGCTTTACATGTCAAACAAAACAGCTTATATTTGATCTTCGAAGTAACAAGGAACCACTGGTGCTCAATGAGAAGGGAGCTAATTAAATGAGACCAATGCTTTAGAAAAGCAACCTGAGCAGCTCAGGACTTCAGTAGGGAGAGACTTGAGCAAAGAGACCAGTTAGAAGGTTATTGCAATAGCCCAAATAAGAGGTAATGAAGGTGGAGAGAAAGGATAGATACAAATAAAACAGAAGATGTGAAGGTATAAAACAACAAGATTTGGCAACTGATTAGATATGTGTGGTAAGCGAAGAGTATGAGGGGCAAGGATGACACCAAGGCTATAAAACTTTTCTTCTACAATTCTTCTATTTACTATTTTCCATACTGCTAGCTAAGTAGTGTTTTTTCCCCACTGCTGTTCTAATCAGGGACTCCATTTCAAATAATACTAATTCTTGGGCTTTAATAGATATTTTTAATATATTAAGGAAAAATCAATTTATTTCTAAGCTTTCTAGTGTCTTTAACATAAATAAATGTACTTTGTCAAATGCTCTTTCTGTGTCTACTGATGTAACATGATTTTATTAGTTTTGTTATCAACACAGTCTATTATCTTTGTAGTCTCCCTAATGTTGACCCAATCTGCATTCTTGGTATAAATCCAGTCTCTACCAGTCTAGTAACCCAGTCAAAAAAGAAAATATTGGCCTGCAATGACCTATTGTTGATAAAGCCATGCTGAACTTGACTGATGCCACAACTTCCTTTGTTAAACCATCACAAACAATACCTTTTAAAATGTGTTCTAAAAAAAATATGCTCTACAGGAAAGTAGAAAATTGGGGGGAAATTTTATATAGTCAGTTTATCCAATAAAAGCCTCACATTTCAAATATATACAGAACTGAGTCAAATTTATAAGAATATGAAGCATTCCTCAATTAATAAATGGTCAAAGGATAAGAATAGGCAGTTTTTGGAAAAAGAAATCAAAGCTATATATAGTTATATGAAAAAATGCTCTAAATCATTATTGATTAGAGAAATACAAATTAAAACAACTCTGAGGTTATCATCTCACACCTATTAGATTGACTAAAATGAGAGGAGAAAATGACAAATATTAGAGGGGATATGGAAAAATTGGGATACTAATACACTGTTGGTAAAACTGTGAACTGATCCAATCATTCTGGAGTGCAAACTGGAATTATGCCCAAAGAGTTATAAAACTGTGTATTCCCTTTGACCCAGCAATATCTAGCAATAGGTGATCAGGGAAAAAGGAAAAGAACCTATATGTTCTTTTTTTTTCTTAATTTAATTTTTTTTTGTTACATTTGAGTTCCAAGTTGTTTGCCTCCCTCCCTCCTTCTCAAACCCACACTAGAGCAGGCCAACAACACAGATATACATGTGAAACTATAAAATACATGGTTCCATATATCAGTTCTTTCTCTGGAGGTAGACAGTATCTTTCTTTATAGGTCCTTTGTAGTTGAAACATGTATTTTCTAAAATATTTATAGCAGCTCTCTTTGTGGTGGCAAAGAACTATAAAGTGAGGGGATACCTACCAACTGGAGAATGGCTGAATAAGTTGTGGTATATGATTGTGAGGGAATACTACTCTGCCATAAGAAATGATGAGCAGGTTGGTTTTAGAAAAGCATGGAAAGACTTGCACAAAATAATAAAGAGTGAAAGGAATAGAGCCAAGAGAACTTTGGATACAGAAATAGCAATATTGTTCGAAGAATAATTGGGAATTATTAAGTTTTCCTGAGTTATATGATAATTAAAATCAACTACGAAGGACTTATGAAGGAAAACACTGTCCACCTTCAGAGAAAGAAGTAATATATGGAAGTATGTATTGGATGGTTCCACATATATAGGTATATCAAACGTTGGCCTGGGGTTGGGAGGGAAGGAGGGAGGGAGACAACTCAGAATGCAAAATGTAACAAAAAAATAAATAACATTTTAAAGTGACCTATAATGGCTATATTTTTCTAGGAATTGAGGCTAAGTATACCAACTTACTGTTGGCAGATTTCACTCTCCTTTTTTTTTTTTGAGTATCAGGACATTTTACCTTTCCAGTCCTATCACACCTTTCCTATTCACCATAATCTCTCAAAGATCATAGGCAGTGGTCAGCACTGTATCTGTCAGTCTCCGCAGTGCTTAGCACAGGCCTGGCACATAGTAGGCACTCAGGAATGCTTGTTGACGTCTGGTTGACTTGAATTCACACCTGCCAGGTACTCTCTTACTATATCCTTACTTATGTTAGGTTTCAACTCTATTAACCATTTTTGTTCTGTTATTTAAATTTAAAAAGCAAAATTTAAAAAATGAATATTTCTGCCTTCTCTTATCCATTACCATTATGGCATTTCTGGGTGGTCCTATCTCCCTTATTTGATCTTTTCCCTAAAGGCCTTTTTTGGTGACTTTATAGGTATTCTAGGAAACTGAATATTAAGAATCATCTAATCAATGGATAAGTAAAATGTTAACTCAATTTTGTAGTTGTTAAACATCTATGAACATGATAGCCCAGAAAAAGGATTGTTATTAGGTATAAAGGTATTGTCCTTAAAGGCAAAATCAGAGGAC